CGGGACCTGCAACAAACAATGTTCCCAGTCCCTGAAGCAGCCACGATATTAAGCTTCCAAACTAAATGTTATTCGAATGTACCGAAACGATACCAATTGGCACGAAGATTTTTCCATCCCAAAGTCAAACCGCATTTGCTGTTGCATTTGTTGTTTGTCCCGCCCACAACGCATGAAACGACCTCTGGCGGCATTTCCGCAAACCGCATGTTTTCCCAATCCCAACATACCATTCATCGTCGCCCAGCAGCTCGTCAAAACGCCACGATCGACGCCGACCGGAAACACTGCCATTGGTCGTTCCAGTTTGAAATTTTTTCTGGAAACCGGCCGCACCTACAACCCAAAACGTTCACAAACCATCCCGACGGGCCTGCCAGCCAACCCCATAACCTAACCACCGACCGCCCGAAGCCAGAATCACGACCCCTTCAAGATCGGTACATCCGGGTCCATCACCTGCGGTAATCGGATGTCCCTACCAACCGTGACTGCCACACAAATACCAGGTTTGAGGAGAGTGTCAGCTCAAACGATTGGGAACCGTCTGAAAGAAGCGGGTTTACGTGCCTGTAGAGCAGTTGTTGGCGGACCTGTACTACGCCCCCTACATCGACGCCGACGACCTCAGGTGGTGCAACAACGTAAGGATACGGACTTTACAAACTGGAGGCGAATCGGTTTTCCGATGAATCACGTTTTCTTTTGCAACGTCACGACGGAAGACAGCGTCTGTATAGGAGACGTCATAAACGTTTTTTGCGCCCATCTGCGTCCGACAGGCGGGACAGATTTATGGAGAAAGCGTCATGGTTTGGGGAACCATCTCATACAACCAGAAATGCCAGACTTGGTGATCGTTCAGGGAACCTGACAGCCCAACGTTACATCAACCACGTGTTAGAGCTTCACCTTCTCCCGATTATTGACCAACAGACACAGATTTTTCAACGGGACAACGCCTGGCCTCATACTGCACGTGCAACAATGAACTTTCTGCAGAATTCAAACGTCAATGTCTTGCTACGACCCCTCTAAATCACCAGACCTCAACCCTATTGAACACCTGTGGGATACTCTGGATCGATTTCGCGTACGTCAACGTCAGCCGCCGCCACAGACGCTGCAACAGCTCGCCGTTGCACTGCAGGAGGAGTGGAGAGCCATTCCCCAGGAAAGAATCCGGCGTCTTATCCGTTCTTGTCCAAGGAGATGCCGTGCAGTGATTGCAGCGCGTGGTGCTCATACGAGATACTGAGAAAGACGCCCCCCTGGTGACAAACTGGTGTCTGTGAGATGACTTTTGAAATGACAATTTTAAACATGCCCATCTGGGTTATTATTCTGCCAAATTTCAGACTTCTGTCTTAAATAATAAAAATGCCGTGTCGTCCTAAAACTTCAGATCAAAATCTCTAAAATACAGGGGTTGCGTTTCTTTTTTGACAGAGTTTATGTGTGTGTAACACCGAAACTATACGTGATACATAAACAGACATAAACTGGCCTCAATCTTAATTTCGTTTGTGTTCCTTTGTTAACAAACTGACAAACAAGTTTAATGTTAGGTGTTGAATACAATCTCAAAAAAGGTCTTTTCTATGTCAAAACTCGTCCATAAAAGTGTAAAAACAAGCATCAACTTTTCACATATATCATATATTTCTCGGGTGAGATTCTTTGTAAGCTGAAGAGGTGCATCATTAACAAATAAACCAAACTCAGATATAGTGATAAAACTGTAACAAACACCGTAATAACGAACTGTTTGGTCCCAGCCACATATTGTATAGTTAACTCAAAATTCATATATAGAACTACGATGACAACGAACTAACATCGGTAGTCCCTGTGGGAATCATGACTTAAATTATTGGCAAATTGGGAAATAAGATAAATCAGAAACGTCCAGATTGTGGCTACGTTCATTATTAGCGCCGGGATCGGGTGGTCAGGCCCGCTGAATCGGTTGACACATGTCATCGGTTCCCAATTGCGCAGATCGATGCTCATGCTGTTGATCACTGAATTGTCTGGTCCAGACTCGATTATTTACAGACCGCCGCCAGTGCGGCGTAAAACTCAACTCACTCACTCATTATCAGCGCTCGTCCACTGTGATACTGTGCTACAGATTACTGACTACCCCGTAATTATACCTGAAGACTGAAAGTCATCCATGTTGGACCCGGTCACGTGCGCCATGTGCCCCAACACCGTGAACATGGACAGTCCACAGAAGATGGTGATCAGGGGGTCCACGATACACAAAACCATCGCCACTCTGGGAATTGGGAAAACAATATTCAATGAAGGCCTACGAAATCTTTATGAATCATGAGAGGAACATCAATCTAGAGTATGGAGCAGTGACCTTTTAGAGGAACAAAACCGTGAAAGAATTTCTTTATGATTGTGTTTTCTTTGTCTGTATCATCTCCCTTCCATAGACACATTTTATGGATTTAAAAGCGCTTTCTTCTGATATTTTTGTGAATTTTACCGATCATTTGTAGCAATTCTTAAAACAAGAAAGCCACCCATTAATGAGTCTTTTTGAGAGTAACCAAAATCCTGTGAAATACAAATTTCCTTGTTATTATGCTTCTCTGTCTGATGTCGTTCTTGTTTCAAGGAAATACCTTAAGAGTGTAAGAACGCTTTCTTCGATATTTGAGAATTTCTTGATCATTTGTAGCAATTCATCAAACGATGAAGCTGAGTGGTACAAAATTCCATGTTTACTTCGGAAGAAAATCAGTAATGCCTCAAATGTTTTCAAAAACGTTTTAAGGAAATCGAAACTGTCAAGCGAAAAATTATTGTTCGATGCGTAAATCCCGAGTCAAAATTGTAATGTTAAAAAATCTGTCTCTATACCTGTAGCAGTTACTGTTTCGCTGATTGTGACTGGAAATGGTGTTGGCGATGCCAGTGCTGGTGCCCATGGAGTGAAGGGTGTAGCCACACGCTTCGATCCATATCTATAGCACACCAAGGTAACAGTTTTGTTACTTTAGTCGTTGTTTAACGCAACACTCAGCAATAGTCAATCTAGTCACATGCATCAGCTACGGGAGCCTAACGGGAGCCGTCAGATGCCTCTAGCAACAATTATGGTGATGCTGACGACAAATTCTCAAACAAATGAGTAAGTGAATTTTACTCCGATCGACCAAATTGTCCACATTTATCATTTGAAGGACATTTTATGTCTGGAAGCATCTACTTATATGGCAACCAAATACATTAAATCTACAACCTTATACTTAGACACAAAGTGAGTGTCCTTGAAGGTTCTAAGTAAGGAGCTCGACCTTACAGTGCACCCGAAGATGCCACGTATGTGCCCTCAACTAAGAAATATTTGCTCAGCCAGCTTGTCAATTCCAAGCATCTTAGAAATGCTCAGCACATACGTCAAAAAAACTCAAAGCGACCTCAAGTGAATGAGTGAATTTTAGTTTCAGCAATATTCCAGCAATATCACGGCGGGTGACGCTAAATGGGCTTGCCATATTGTACTCCATGTGGGAATCGAACCCAGGTGAAACCCTAACTAAGATGAAGATATGATCTTTAACATATACTCAAGGATAGCACTTTTGTTCATACAAGCCCGTTCATGGCGGGAGACACCAGAAATAGGCTTCTCGCATTGTACCCATGCGGAGAATCGAACTCGGGTGTTCGACATGATAAGCGAACGGTTTATTCACTAGGCTACCCCATGGTACCAATGACTAATAGGATGGTCTCAGTAACGTGGAGGAGTCATGTGTTGACGATTCACTAATATAATAATGAACCATTTATGATTAAGTAGCTGATTTGTCGACCTGATTTGACACTCACGTTGGGGCTTTTCAACTTCTCAAAGTCTGGTCTTTATCAGATAAAACAGTCCATCTGGTCGCCCCTGGCAACAAAGGATTCCCCGTAAGCGAGGAAGACCGCACACACCAGCACCGCACAGTAGCGTGACGCACACGATCTGGAAACGGTGTCAAATCGTTTGTTAGTAAAAACCAGCATTCCGGCCGGGATACGCTGACTGGGCAACTGGTCCTGTATGTTTCATTTGTTTGTTGTTGCAACACGGCCGCAATCTAGCTACGCATTAGCACGAAGGTCCTGTAATTACTCGAATTTGGACCAGACAATCCAGTGATTAACCTGCTATCACAGAAACATTAAAATAAAGATAAAGGTTTTCCCTTTTATTGTTAGATATTTACTTTCAGTACCATGCTAGAGTGAGTGAGTGAGTTAAGTTTTATGCCCCACTCAGCAATATTTCAGCTTTATGACATGTGTCAACCAAGTCAGCGGGTCTGACCAACGATCTCGTTAGTCGCCTCTTATGACAAGCAAGGGTTAATGAAGATCAACCAACCCAGATTTTCCATCTCAAAAAGCTGGTAACTGTGTGACCTATGTGCAATACTGTTCAAACCCCGTCCAAACAGAGACCCACAGGCATTGGACATTACTTTTTATATTTGTGAACAAGTTTCATCAGTATTTTTCTATATTGGCTTCTGTTATTGTGAATCGGTCGTTCAACAATGTCCATGAATATGCCTTGCTCTCAACCTTTCTGGTAAAATCAAAGAATGCTCCTAGCCTAATGAACACCACTTTTGTGTTCAGAATATACCCATCTATAAGTTCATTTCATCTGTGGTTCTTTCTGCTGGTAAGACATCACATAGGGATCCTTTTTGCGAACACTTGGAGTCATGATCCATAACTATTTAAGCAAACAAATAGTTCCCTCAGCTATTTTGACTTCTACGCCCAAAATAACCCGTTTTGTCAGATATTTAAGTCTGCTCTGACTTATGCCTAAATTCGCCATTACCTTGCCCGTGACTCTTATGCCTTTAAACAGCATGACGTACATGGTGACATAGGTGAAGGTCAGACACCCAAACAATGGCCACCGAATGGATCCAGTATCATCCAGGCCATTCGAGATGTCCAGTGTATTATATCTGAAAGAAATTCTTGGTGAGATCAAAGATTGCAAAAATTGGTATCATTTCAGTTCAAAATCTTTTGTTCCAATAACTTCAGGTAAAACTGGATACTCCTGAGGCATCGTCATTGTACTATTCTACATAAAATTGGACATAATTGACTTGGATTTCAAAATGCCTCTGATTTTATGACTGCTTCACTGCGCAGGTATATATGTCACACTGCCGCTTCCGCTGGACCACCAGCATGGCTGATATGAACACAACGTGATGGAAGTATTAATAATTAATCGTGTATTATAGCTACGCGTTTTGAATGAAATGCAGCGACTATCAATTCTATCTGACATTCATCTAATGTTCACAGTCGTTTATCTCCAAAATATTATCTTAATTAGTACTCACACATATTTCAGATATTCTGAAGGTCATAGTGTCATTACTTGCCTCCAGAATTCTTCTGAAGCACTAGCAACGTCCACAGTGGACACATTCAAGTGATCCCAATGTGTAGCGTTGATGAAGCTTTGCAGTGGATCAGTGCCTTTCAATGTGGTGTTCATTCCAGCATGCCCATAAAGTGTCGACTCCACACAGCTGGGCGTGTTCCAGGAGTCGCCACACGTGGACCATGGCAGGGGGTTGAAGAAGGAGTTGAAGAAGTAGTAGAGGTACCAGGAGAAGTACATGGAGGTGTACATGGCGTATACCCATGAAACCAACGCCGTCCCTAGTCCAAGACCTTGTCACAGTAGACAAACGTATCGTGCGTTTATTTCATTTAAAGGTATTTAGTTAAAAGGAATTCAATACAAGTGTATTGCATCCACGAACCATTTAACTCTGGCTACATTCAGTTACACCTTGCCATTTCAGAAATGTGTTTCAGTCATTAGCTTAGAGTAGAGTGTATTGCATCCACGAACCATTTTACTCTGGTTACATTCAGTTACACCTTGCCATTTCAGAAATGTGTTTCAGTCATTAGCTTAGAGTAGATTAGTGATGTTATGTTTTCAGTACAGATGTTGGGACAAAGTCTGCAAAATCAAACATAAAATGCCTTTAAGTACGCCTGCTGAAATCCCTGAAGTTTGCAGCAAATGTTGGTGAAACGTCCCATCTCTGCATTGGGTCTCTTGTTGCTAAATTCCAATTATCTCGAAACAATCGGAGAGAAGAGGTTATGTTAAACAGACTTCGTCTTGGGCATTGTGGCCTCGTGCTTATATCTCAATATTATCAAGAAAAAATATGTCTGCGCTTTAAGGCTACAGTGTGTAATCAGCTAGATAATGTGTATGCATTGTCTACTGCATTGCCATAAATATGTTAAACAACGTAGAGCAATGGTTAAATCTCTTACAGCTCTCAATATTGACATCCCATTGGCTGAACTATTATGTTCAAGGAATATCACTCGCCATGAAGTTCAGAATGTAATTCTTGCATACATTTAAGCGTACATATGTGGCAGCTTTGCTTCTTTATGATTTTTTTAGAATCTAAGCAATCCTTTATGATCGGCAAGGTATAAATGGGCTTAGTTGCCCGAAAGCCTATTAAACTTTTAATGATCAATCACTAATCCTAAACATAAGAGATATATGTGTTTGCAGATGTTACTTGCACAAACAAAACATGAGCAATAATAAGCATTTATTTAACTTTCTGAAATATGATGTCTTTTTTAAATATAATTCAGCATTTAAAATTTGTTTTCAATTTGTCATACAGGGTTTTCAAGTTTTGAATTCTTCATAAACCCTTGACATATATTGACATACATTGTACCTTTCATGGCAGGACAAAACTTCCACACCTCGACAGGGCCTTTCTGGTAGTATTGGCCAATGACCACTTCCAGGAAGTACAGCGGTACAGCACAGAGGCCAACAAACACCAGGTAGGGGATCAGGAATGCTCCTGAAAGCAGTAATAAAAAACAGAGATGAAAGAAGATTTCTGAGACAAATGTGTTTTGCTACTGTGTTACTATGCGCCATCACATTTCAGATATTTCTTTTTTTAAAAGTAATGTGCAATGAAGTGTATTTTCAAAATATAAATTGTGAAGTAAAAGTTTGTGACAAGCATTTTGTTTTTCTTGCAGCAGGTATAACTAATGACCTGGTAACATAGGAAGATATGTAAAGAGAACATATTGCATATTCTTATGTTCTCGTGTAGCAGGCAATCATTTTAGACTGGGTGTTGTTTTGCACTGATGTTTTATGTTATCGTAAGAGAGGCAGTGACTATCACGATATACCTTGGACCTATCTAGACCTGTCTTAAGATCACATACACGGTGATGTTTATGTTCCATATTTGCGTTATTTGGATGAAGAGGCCTTATATAAACAGAAATTATTAGTTTTTACCATGTTTTAATAAGTGTCATCATGTGATCAGAGTGGAATATTTAGATTGCATTATGCTATGTGGCAGCGAACTTTAACTGTGTTGTCTTTCAGTGGCATTTAGAAGTTGTACATTGATGTCCAAGATATTTTTTTATGGATTAAACTTCTTTTTAAATTTCAGTTCAATAATTGAGTTCACCTGATGAAGGGACCTGGAATGGTATCGAAACGTTGTGAGAGAAATTTAAAAAGAAGTTTAATCCATAAAAAATATCTTTAACTGTGTTGAATTATATTTCATGGTTCATTAGACGGCACTGTTCCATGCCTCGGCTTATTCCTGAATATCCGATTGTGTATTTGTAGATAAAGTATTTAACAATACAAAGTGTCAGTCTTACTTCAGCCATCTCACATTACATCTCACATTGCAAGAAGACCAGCAGTTGTGTGGAGATCACTGTTCACCCTGGATACTCCGCCTTGGCCTATGTTGGAAGCTCGGCCATGGTTGCAGTGACTTCAATATTACCCTCACTGTCTTTATTGGCACAATAACTGCTTTAATTTTATATTGCCACTCTACTTTGTAATGTCATTGTTATTCCGTTACAGTGTGTAATGATCATTAATTTGTAAACTTAGTTAATTTAATTCTTAATATATCACGTCTCTCATTACATCCTATAATACAAGAGGACCAACAGTCGCGTGAAGATCAATCTTCACCCTAAGCACTTAGTCTGGGCCTAGTTTGGAAGCTTGAAGACTGTTGATGAATATTACATCACTGTCTTTATTGCTATTATCACTGCTTTAATAGTTTATTGACACTCTAAGTTGTACCACCATTGCAATTTTGTGATTATTGTTTTATATCAATTTGTGAAATTTGTAAAGTTTTAATCTTCATTGGTTCACAGTATTTCGTTTACAGGCCGATTTCCAGCTGACCTATTGTTTCAACTTGGGAATGAACACTTCACACATATCATTTGCAACCCGTTTCAGTACATAATCTGTGTACGTACCTCCACCGTTTCTTGCGCACAGGTAGGGAAACTTGAGAAGCGTTCCTCCCCAACACTGTAGGTATTCAACAGGGTAACGATGCCATCCACTCTGATGTCCCCATGTTTCTCTGTTTCTGACATATATTCAACCAGTTGCCATAATCAATTTCTTTAACTTGGTGTTAGACGATATTGCAAGTAACGTATCAAATAGCAAAGCCAGTGCAAATCTGAGGATAGGCGAGCTGATTTTAACGTGACGTGGAAGATTCTTCTCATGTATAATGCGACGTACGTATGTACTTGTATCAGTGCGGTGTGGTGTGGTGGGTGGGTGTGTGTGGGTGGGTGTGAGTATTGTCTTGCGTATCCGAGATGCGCGCGCGCATGTGTGGTGTGTGTGTGTGCGTGCGTGCAAGCGCAAGAGAGAGAGAGAGAGTGGGTGTGTATGTGCGTGGACGCATTATGCTGACTCCAAACCGGCCATTCAATGATTTAGGTACGTCTTTTCGTTTGATGATGGAAAGGGCTATATACCCCTTGATGTTGAGTTTCTAACGCCGGATCCCCATCGTTGAGCACCTCGTCTTAAACATTAACATTGGGAGACACGACTTACTTGTTTCATCAACGTCCTGGTTTTTACTTGCTTTGTCATGGTGGAAATAGTAGCCTCAAGGTCAGCAGTTTCACAGCGCAGGATGGACAAACTTGCATTCGCCTGTAAAATGTATCATGGTCATTCTCAGAAGAGATTTTCATGCGGAACCCGTGGAGATCCGTTAGAATTTCTCATCAGTAACCCATGCTTGTCGTAAGAGGCGACTAACGGAATCGGGTGGTCATGTTTCTTTGACTTGGTTGACACATGTCATCGTATCCCAGCTGCGTAGGTCTACGATCATGCTGTTGATCACTGGATTGTCTGGTTTTCGTCACCTTATCCACACATTCGATGACTGTTTTATGGTTCATCATGTGGTTCTAGTATCGAACTTCCCTACAATGTGAAGTGATTTGGTGTTATGGAACCTCTCTTTAAATCAGGCCTAAAGACCGACCTGTTCCTTAATCCTTTTAGTTGTAAGTGCTTCGAAGTAAAACCGGGGTGGAGCAGCCACATTTCTACCATGAAACGTTTTGAATGGGTTTTTTCTGGGCCTTTGGTTTTGAAACCTTGTCGAATGGAAATATGACTGTCATTCATAACCCAATGATGTAGTACAGAGTTACTTTAGGTCGTGAAGTTACGAACGCTTTGTGGATCGCGACCCTGGAACGCAGTGATAGTATTGCGAAAATGTAACCATAATATTTTTCGTCAGTTTGGTCTTTGCCCTCATAGGTCAGGGGCTTAGATTTCGAAACTCTCTTAGCGCTAAGATAATCATAACTTAATGTTAATGTATGGCACTTACGACTATCCTAGCGCTATGAGAGCTTCGAACAATCTAGGCCCAGATTATCAAAAGATATCTTAGCAAGCCCAGAATTATTTATTTTATGGCAACCAGGGTATTTCAAGTCATTATGATCTTTCCAATTTCAGTAGCTATACTTCTTTTGCCTATGAAATATTCAGTATGATATCGATATTCGAGAAACAGTCCAGTGATCCCTCACACGTCAGGCATATACATCGAGACTGGATTTGCTGTCCGCTTGCTGGAATACTGACAAGCCACAAAAGCAAAAACTGCAAAGATTCCATGGAACAAAACGGTTTTTGATTCGATAAACATAAAACAAATTTTCCACATTTATCACATAGAGGACATTTATGACCTGAAGCATATAGTTATACGGCAACTGAATAAATTGATTCCACAACCTTATGTTTAAGGCTCAAAGAAAGTGTCCTTGGAGAAGCTACCCAAAGACTTCAACTGTAAAGAGTCCAAGAAGATGTTAAGTTGCATCCCGATTTCCAAGTGCCCATGAAGGTTCTTAGCAAGAACGGGGCGGTGGGGTAGCCTAGTGGTTAAAGCGTTGGCTCGTCACGCCGAAGACCCGGGTTCGAATCCCCACATGGGTACAATGAGTGAAGCCCATTTCTGGTGTCCCCCGCTGTGATATTGCTGGAATATTGCTAAAAGCGGCGTAAAACCAAACTCAGTCAGTCAGTCAGCTTAGCAAGAACTCGATTTTACAGTGTCTCCGAAGATGCCAAGTATGTGCCCTCAACTTCCAAATAGTTGCTAAGCAATCTCAAAGTATTCTAGAAATGCTGAGCATGCATGCACATCAACCACAAATTATCCCAGTAGAGCTACGGGGCCAGTCGAAATCTCCAACTTTAGGGTATACGATAACAAAGTGGAAGAAGGTTCACACTACATTTGCAAAACCATTCCTCCTTCAACTCGTTCTGCTAAATACAGATCTAAACAACAACAGGAACATACCAAGCCGCGCCCAGTAGATCCGTGTCTCTTAATATGTGTCTCCTCCTCTTATCATTAGACTTATAACACCAGCAAAACTCGTGTTGTTGTTGAAACACGCCTGCTCTGATATGCGGGCATTTAGCGTACACGACGACAACGTAACGGAGAAGAGCTTGTGGTCAAATTTCGTATTCATACATTTGCACGATGTGCGTATGTCATTACTGTTATCAACCCTTTGGTAAAAACATAAACCATTCTTTTGGTAAATACAGAACATTAACCAGAAGATATTTACAATTGATAATCGAATCTAATGTAATAACTGGCGTGTCTACGTAATTAGAACTAGTTCAGTGACCCCATTCAGCATTTTCGCACATCTGCTGTTGCAACTCAAACCAGAGCATAATCAATCTCAAACATCTGCTGAAACAAGAACACGTACTACGATTCAGAAACGTGCATGCCGAAGAGGATGAATATTTTTTTTAAATCATCAAGAAAAGAGCTGTGCTCTCGTGTTATGTTTTTTCTCACACTGTCATAGTGCGATTGAGGACATTGGAGGTCCAAATCACATTGTACCCAAAGGGGGAATCGAACCCGTGCTTTAGCCATTAGGCAACCACCGCCCCTCAAGTCTGAAATAAGTAGACCCTTAAGCTTGAAAATCTCCGAGCGGTCTAATTGACGGGCTGATCCTCCTAACTGTCAGTTTGATTTTAAACATAAAATAACAACTCTAAAATGATTGTTTACAAGATCGCATCTTGTCATCCATTCGTTGATTGGCCATCCGCCGAGCTACTGATTTTAAACATGGCCAAAGTATAATTTCGCTAGTAGTTTTGAATTGTGGATTTTTCTGTCCCAACAATGCAGTATTGTTTCCATCGTGAATGTTTATAAATACATGTATATGAATGAATAATGAATTAATGAATTGCACTACATGGCACCTTAACTGACCTTATTCGCCAGTCATGTGTTTGCTTCTTATTTGGTACAGTACTCGGTAAAATTAGATTTGGCGGTGATTTGTAAATAACCGAGACCAGGCAATCCAGTGATCAACAGCATGAGCATCGATCTACGAATGTACCCTTGATGTTTGGCAAGTACGCCATTTGTATGTATGATGCATAATTCAAGGTATCTTATATGTCTCTGGGTGCCTTTGTACAAAACAACCTTAGCGCTAAGACTACCTTAAGTCTATGTTAAGTTATGGGAATTCCGGTCACCTTAGCACTAAGATCGCTTGAACTGCACGCCCGACGTGCTCGGAGTTCATACACCTCAAAACATTAATGTACTGGTCGGTCTTTAGGCTAGATTAAAGAGAGTTCCATAGCACCAAATCTCTTCAAATTGTAGGTTAGTTCGATACTTTAAAACGATATGATGAAAACTACAATAAACCACACAATGGCCGCGTAACGTGGGATACTCACGTTCATCAGAGTGGATAAGGTGATTGTCAATCAAATGTTTCAAGATGTTCAAACACCAACTTCAGATTTGGTCAACATGAAATGTATGAGTGAGTGAGTGAGTGAGTTTCACGCCGCACTCAGGGGGTCTGTGAATCATCGAGCCTGGACCAGACAATCCAGTGATCAACAGCATGAGCATCGGTCTACGAATGTACCCTGGATGTTTGACAAGTACCCCATTTGCTATAAGTTACAAATAAGTACAATACACTGCCTGTACGGTACCGATTCGTGCAATACGTCGGCATTCGCTAGAAGTTCGCTCAGCCTGCGTTGTATCTGCGCAGCAAGTACGCTATGTATACGCTGCTAATAGCTCGTGCCGGGAGAACAGCGTATTGCCGCTTATGAACCGCTTATTCCCCACGAACACATAGCAGGCTCGTACTGCGTTCGACCGATGCGTGACGTATACACTGCGCATTAATAACTTGTCACCTGTGTAACAGCGTATGCACAACGAACGAAGCATAGTTTTGTGCATGCCCAAAACTATCACGCGTAGTGGGGCGTACTGTGCGCATGCCGGCGTACATAGAACTTACACAAAACGATTGAGATGCATATGCATTGTTCATACGACTGCGTATAAAAGAAATGTCAATACGCAACTCATAAGTAATCAGGATACGCTGAAGTGTGACAGTGCCCTAATATTATCCAATGTCTATAAAGATAGCCCATCCTTGATCTTATTGGGGATTCTGGTTAATCTTTGAGACATGGATTTGGAGGCACATTTGCTGGACCCATTCTCTCTTTGTACGGATCTTTATGGTCCTTTGGAATCAAGTTCAAAACAGGAGGTTTACATACTGGCCTTGGTTGTGCCTTTACTTGCCATATTACATACTCCTAGCGATATGGCTGAAATACAACCGATGTGACTTTAAATTTTTGAACACACTCACACTAACTCACCTGGTAATTTCATATAAAGAAATAACTTAATGATGTTGAACAAAATATAACTGTTATATAAATTGAGGCCGTATCGGTTGAACAAGAACAAGAGTTCATGTAGCGCAGCAAGACTTCAGATGTCAGCTGGCTTTGACAGGATGGGCATATTGCAATTCGATCTCCTTTCAGTGTGTGCATTCTACTAATGGCGGAAAACGACACTAACTGAACCACAGTGACAATGGGTCCGAGTGCTATTATGTTTAAAACATTTTACTGAACTGCATCTTACAAAATGTGATCTGAATAAATTTGAACTGACATTTTGTCAATGGTAAAGTATCTAGGTTAAACGCATTCAACAAGATCAGTTACGTCGCAGTTTCTAAAAACTGATAGGAATTAAAACAGAGACTAAACATGCATATCTAGGCTAGACAATACATACTCAACAAACACGGATGAATTATTAGTTTAAAGAACGAATTTTGTACACTTTTAACCATTACATATGAAAAACTTGTGGTTAGTCTTTAGCGGAACACCAAATTCATTCTTAAAAAACTTGTGGTTAATTAATACCGAGCGATTTGAAGTTGCCAAAAAGCCGTCTGTTTCACTCTCGCCCGCCAACGAAACCACAGAGGTTACGTAACTCTGTCGCCAGAGCACTGCAGCGAACCGGAAGTGACGTTATGTGAGGAAGGATTTTCAGTCAGTTGTATATAAAGTGTGTAATAAGCTCGTCATTTTGCTGATTTCTCGACGTTTCCATCGAGTTAAAAAATTCAAACTACTTACCAGTCGTAAGAAAATATTTATATGCTTGATGACCAAAAGGATTTTGCATGACACAACTTGTAGTATAA